GGGGTATAGCATAATGCTAGAATTAAAATATATATTTGTGGGCATGTCTGGATTAACCAATTAAAAGTCAGATCTATGCTAAAATAGAAAAATTTAAAATAAGGTCAGAGGGTGTTTTCCAATTTCCCAAATAAATCATTTGTATTATATGTTATCTACCATCACCTGAAGATTATAGTTCCGAAACATGAAAGTTTTTGTGTAGTGATGTAAAATGTTTTTATTGTAAACTATTATAATAAAAACATTTTTATAATATTTTGTCTATGTTGTATTGAGCACTTTTTTAAAAAGTAATTGCTAAGAACTGTGGATATATATTTCAAACATTATTTTTAGTAGATACTGATATTTGAGTAGATGCGTTTATTTATTAACCTGTATATTTATTTATTTTCATGTACTAGCCTGAATATTTAAGAAATCTTATTAAAAAAAAAATGTCCTCTCAGGCAGGATTCCAACCTGCTTCCCCCTGGGCAGGGAAAACTGTTGTTAGATCTGATGTACTTATACCAACTCAGCCATGAAGAACTTTTGTCAATCAAGCAAAACTTAAATCCTGATAAAGAGCATATATTTTTGTTTAATTAGACTTCTTGAATATTCAAGCTGTTAGGCAAAAATAAATATATTGTTTAATAAATAAACGGAACATCTATTCAAATATGAATATCCATTAAAAATAAAATTAATAGTGATAAAATCTGTCAGATTAATAAATAAAATATCTATTACTTCTTTAGAAATTGTATATATATATATATATATATATATATATATATATATATATATATATATGTATATAAATAAAAAAAAGAACAGTAAGATATATAATCCGTGTTCTTATAGATATTTTTATTTTACAAAATAGGGCTCAATGTAAATTTACAGAGCATTAATATTATAAATTAATTGATTTAAAATATGGTTTTTTCCACTACCCAGTTCTAACCATGTTTCATTTTTGAAACATGGTTAGAACTGTGTAGAAAAAAAACATATTTTAAATCAATTTTATTTATAATTATATATATATATATATATATATATATATATATATATATAGTAATCCAGAAACAGCCTGTTTTAGTGTATTACAGCTCCATCAGTGTAGCTAGACATCCGATTGCTTCAAGCTGGGATCGAAAACTCAACCGATTTGACATCAGTCAGAGACTCTTACTTCTAGGCTATCAGCACACGGCAGAGAAAGGGAATTTTTTAATGCATTATATACGTGCTATATAAAGGCCATCCTGGATGCCATGGCACTCAATTCTTATTAAGAGTGATGCATTAAAGCAGCAGCAGCAGCCATTAAAAATTCCCTTTTCTCCATTGTGCTCAATTGGTGAAAGAGCATATATATATATATATATATATATATATATATATATATATATATATATATAAGTTTGAGTAACAAAAGTTCTATGTTAAGGATATTTTCTTTATTTTTTTGTTTCATCCCATTTTCCTGATTTCAGATGAAAGCATAGATATAAATGCAATGTTTGAATACTTTCAACTTTCATGTCATTATCAAAGAGTTTTGCTTTTTCTCCTGTATTGGTTTCATTGTTTTTCAAATATTTTCAAACCTGCCGGCTGGGGATTCAGAATATGCTGACTGCACCTCTGCAGAAGGATAAGCCCCACCTCCACCAAAAAAATGCAGCATCCTGGGTAAGACAATAAACTACATCCAACAGCAAGGCCTCTGATCAGGAGGTTTTGAGGAGCGTAGAACCACCTCTCAATTGCTGGTGTTCCCAGGTTCACCCTTACCTGGGGTGGTAGCACCTGTCAGGCTCCCAGGTATGGGCAAATAGATAACCCCACCCAAAAGGGGTCAAAAGACTATGAAAGTATGAAAATATGTTTTAATGCCAGCAATACATTTTGAAACAAATGTTATTACCAGCAATACATTTTTGAAACAAAAATTATTACCAGCAATACATTTTTGAAACAAAAATTATTACCAGCAATACATTTTTGGAAAAAAAATATTACCAGCAATAAAAATTTTGTCAGCATTAAATAACCCATTGAGGTGTTGATATACCATAAATAAAATGAACCAAACCAAATCAATCAAATATTTCACATGATCGTTTTTGAGATTACATATTGTTGGGGCACACCCATCTTCTCATCAGAATGGACTGATCTCTCTACTACTATAGGACAGTTCTATAGAGTTCTGGGGAGATCAGGTGACCATCACACTTCCGTCTCTCTACTGGAAGATACAGTTGGACTTTATACTCTTTCTGATTGTTACTGACTAACCTGCGTTCGTTTGACTACTAATCTCTCTGTTGTAAATACCTCTTCAGATATACCAGTATTTTTCCCTACGTATGTGTTTGTCCTTATTTCAATACATGTACGCGGAAACACTCAACATCTCAACACATATGTTTTTATCAAATACTATATAATAATATGTTTATTTCTAAATTTGAAAACATTTTATTGATGTTCTTTGCTTTTATGCTTAATGCTTCAAACAGATTTCCACAGTTTTGTGATGTAGTATTTCTGCATTATTGTCTTGACAGATTTCTTGTTATGTTTTTTTATTGCATTATGAAAGACAAAAGTGTTCAGACGTTGGACAATTTATACAGAAATATGTACTGGAAACCAGGAAATTGGTTTGAAATAAAGAAAAAATAAATTTAAGAAAATCCTTAACAAAGAACTTTAGCCAGTCTTTAACTTGTATCAATGGATAATTTGCTGCCTAAATACACCTAATACTTGTCATTGATTATCAATTTACCTTTTGCAAGCTCTTAAATCATTAAACATTACTTTTTGTTCATCAAATTAGCCATAAAATACATTTTAAAGATTCAAACTTATAATGTGGGTATTAATGTGAAATTCCAAAATTCGAGAAATTTTATATAAATGGCTGCCGCTTGTCAGAACTAATTGGCTTTCATCTTACTTACACAACTTGCCATCAATCAAAAAATAAATCTTTAGATACCAGTAAATATTTATTTTATATATTGATAAAATATTGTATTCTTAATATATATATATATATATATATATATATATATATTTTAAATATTTTTAAAAACAGACCACTTTAAAACATGGAACCTTAAAGTGGTCTGTTTTTATTTAAAAAAACCTGGAACCTTAAAGTGCTCTGTTTTTATTTAAATTATTTGCTCTGGATTTACATTGAGCTCTCTGGATTTTATCCTCCTTAGGTTTACCCATATGGATTACCTAGTTTTTTATAAACTATATATATATATATATTATTGATAATTAGTAAGGATAATTCCAAATATTTTTGGTCTGAAGAGATGGGCATCTCATCCCGTGAAATAAATTATCACCTATGAATTTCTAAGGACTCCACTTTCATCATTATTCAAAATTACCTCATGTGGATATAAATTTATTTCAACCAAAGCTAAAGTACATTAGTCTTATTCAACCCTGGTGAATGGACTGTACATTCACTGGGACTGAATAAGATCAACATACTTAGTGTTTTTTTCACTATGTAATTTATATTTGATATTATTAGGATTCACCTGGATTATATATCAACAGATCTATTACCTGTACTATATATATATATATATATATATATATATATATATATATATATATATATATATATATATATGTATATGTATGTATATGGAGTATATAAAAAATACTTTTACAAACTTTGAGGGAAGGTTCCTTATGTCAAGACAAAGACAAAGGTCCATATAAACATGTACCTATAAACCCTTTGTTTTTTAGTTAATAAGTTCAAAGAAAGTTTCTGATAGGTGGTGCTGCATTGCCACATAGAATAGGTCACTTTTGTCATTTGTGTACATTTGTGACTAGTCTGTATTCAATATATGATTTTGTCCTTGTTTTGGTATGAGAAATCTGTACTAAAATTTTGTAAAAGTGTTTTTGATACACACTTATATATATATATATATATATATATATATATATATAAAATTTGTATATTTAGGCAGAAATTCTTTTTTAAGCATGTCTGACTGAATAAATTACAGACATTTTGTCTGCTAATTTTTAACAAAATCCATTTATACTCACGAATAACCTTCCTTGTATCAACATTAAAGGATGAGAGAAATGTGCTATAACTGTTTAAATTTCTTTTATTTTCATTTTCCAAGTACTTCTGATCTTCTTCCAAAATCATTTTCAGAGGTGCAAGTAGTACAAAACTATACGTTGTTCAGGATACAAGTATTTATACAAAGCTGTGTGTTGCTATCCATTACAGTAATTTTTCTTCATGCTTTTAAATGCAAACGGTTGACAATGTACTGATCAACAACACAACTATCCTACACCAAGAAAATAATAAATTCAAACTACAAATCCTAGAAGCAATTTATATTAAAAAATTAAAGCCGACACTGAATAAAATCAATGATGAATACTGCTGTAATGTTCTGAAAGGCCTATAAAGGAACAGTTTTTCACATTTTAATGCATGCATGACCATGACTGATTTGGTATCAGGCAGAGATTTTGCCCTAAACCATTGGTGCACGGCAGGGATAAAGGTGAATTTAAATGTATTTATTTTAGACAAACACGCCAGTGACTGGAAAACTTGATTTGTCTTAATGAAGAGTCTTGCATATATATATATATATATATATATATATATATATATATGCACACACATCTAGTGGTCCATGAATATACAAGATCCCTTAAGGAAAATTCTGGTTGAAAACACAAAAATTCTATATAAATCAAATTACCAGAGACATTTATCTGTGAGAGAGGGTCTGTATATAAAATATCTCGTTCCCACTATCAACGCCAGTTTATTCAGTAGTAGTTTCCCTTTTTGTCACTTGTTGGCCAAAGGGTTGATGAGGGGATAAAAAATGATAAATCCCAGATGCAAAAACAACCACACACAAAAGTACAATAAGGGAGGATTTTGAATAATAATTCAAATTTGGCCCTTTGGGCTAGACCACGCCTAACCCTAAGGGAATGGGATTGATCAGGTGACCGAGGAGGAAAAGGCCCAGGTGGAATTTCAGGGAAGGTGGAGGACTTTCCATGCCCCACAAGCAGTGATGGTGAGAGGCACTCACACAAAGCAGGAAGGAGATGGGTTTGATCAGGTGACCAAAAGAAGAAGACCCAGGTACAATTCCAAGGAGGGAGGAAAGGCTCCCCTATATCAGAGAGAGATCTGATTGGTTGTTTGGGGAACACTGGCATACCCTGAGCACATCATGCCCCACCTGAGCCCTTGTGCATAAAAACAGAACACCAAGTAGATGAAGATGACTACAGCAGAGACACGGCAGAGAGAGACTGTTGGAGATGAGACTGAATAAGACAAGTAACAACATTTCACCTGATTTCATGTGATTTGCTGCCCTGAAAAAAATGCCTCCGACTTAAAGCCTTTTTTCTAGAAGTCTCATTCAAAACCATAACAACAAACAGTGTGTCACAATAATCAGGAAGGGTTGATATAAGTTATTGCATGGAGAACATAGGCCTGCTTCATCTTCTATATCCAAATGTAATGTCAATCAACATCTTCTGATACCTTGATCTTGATCCCCATCCTTCTCTGTATCCTTTCCTGAAACACCCCCCCTCTTTACTCTTGCTCTCACTCTCTGTAACCCCTTATGTGCTTGTAGCACTCCCACATTGTTTGAGGTGAAATGCTTAAAAAAAAACAACTTGTTTCTATACTGAGATTCGCAGTAATTACATCCACTTTATCTATTGGTTAAAGAATTTATTTGTGGTTTTGGCTTGTTTTGTTTTACGGCATATCAACCTCAATGATTTATTTAATGCCAACAAGATTTTTATTGATGGTAATATTTTTTATCAAATTTCTTTTTTTTCAAAAATGTATTGCTGGTGATTTTTTTTTCCAAAATATATTGCTGGTAATATTTTTTTTTAAAAAAGTTTATCTGGTAATAATGTATTGCTAATAATAATTTTTTTCTTCAAAAATTCATTGCTGGTAATAATTTTTTACAAAAATATATTGCTGGTAATAAAACCTATTTTTGCCTGTTTTGACCCTAGTTTGGGTGGGGGGTAACTATTTGCTGATAGCTGGTCAGAGTGAACCTGCGAACACCAGCAATCAAGAGGTCATTCTACGCTCCTCAAAACCTTCTGATCTGAGGCCTTGCTGTCAGATGTAGTTTATCGTCTTACCCAGGACAGGTTTATTTGTAAATTTGGCAGTATAGTAATCAAATTATGAATTCAATCTCTGGCTTGTGTAATATAGACTTTAAACTCAGTGGATACCCTAAACAGGGATAGTAAAATGAGAATAAGAACAATCTATTCCCATAGATTAAATAAAGGGACCTGTTCCAAATTCCCTGAAGGTTACTCAAACCAACAAACACCTGGGAAAGCTGAAGAGCCCAATAGCTGAAACTTTGTGATAACAACAACAAAGATAAATGGAGTAATATAAATAAGGATAAGTCTTCTTCACAGAAATTGTTAACTTTTACTTACCATGAACAAAATCTTAAAGTTTTGATTGTGTGGATTCCAAGGGTCTACTTTAACTTAGCTGTGGCTAAGTATCACATCATACTCGCAATCAGGTGAACATGATTATTGCTTTTTGTTTCTTTGCTTGGAGACAAAAAGAGTAATAAAAGGGAGGTAACCTCAGTCTTCTGTGCACGATGTTCCTTCAGGATGTCAGTGATCATGATTCTCCACAACTTCCTGTCCTTTGTAGCTCTTAGCAATGTTTGTCTTTTTGCTATCTCTCCTAATCCCTGTTCTGCCAACCATTTACACAAGCTCGTTAGGCAGGTTATTTGCTGCTTTCCTCTCTCTCACTCTTGCTTTCAATATGTCCTGTAAATGCCAAATTCTCCAAGCCCTCTTTTAAAAGTATAAAGGATGTTAATAGAGATAATGGTATATTTCTTAAGTCAATGGTCATTCTCTATTTTGTCTCCTACGATGAACAAGGCTTTCTCCTTTATCATATCAAAACTCACCATTACTGATGACGAGTTGAGTGTTCACTTAGCATTTCCATGAAATAAGCTAATCTCTCTACATAGATTGGCATCTTGCCTGATAATGGTTGTTTGCCAAGAAGCAGCTCTAAAGGCAACATACTAAGTCAAGACAGTTAACTCTGGGTTTTAATGGAATGTCTGCCATGTACAATGATTTCTTCTATGTGCCATGTTCTTTCAGGAAGTTAGCAATTATGGCTCTCCACAACTTCCTCACCTTTTTATCTCTTAGTAAGTTTTGTCTATTTGCTATCTCTCCTAACCCCTGTTCAACTAACAATTTACACAAGCTTATTAGGTTGGTTATTTTATCTGCCCTCTTGTTTTTATGTCCTGTGAATGTTAAATTTTCTAAAACCTCTTTCCTCATTACATGTCGTAGAAATTGTCAACTGATTCTAAGCATAAGTGTTCTTTTCATTTCCTTAAAACTTTGTCATTACACACATGTTCAGGCCATACAAACTTTTAATTGTTGTTTTTGCTTTTTTTGGTGGGGGGAAAAGAGATAGATAAAAAAAAAAAAAGGTAAAATCTCTTACTTGAAAGAAAAAATGATGAAGAAAAAACATAAAAACCATACTCGGTCTGACTATTCATGATGGTGTGATAAAATTTAGTTTTGTGGCAGAGGCATTTATTTCATCAATAATGGATGAAAAACATCTTTTACTTCATAGCAGAGAAGAAATCAGACATTGACATACCAATAAAAAATGGTTGGAAGAGTTGGGGGAATCCCTTTTGGCTAGGAATTGAAATTGTGTGTATCAAGAGAGAAAGAAATGTGGCATCTGATTCAAAAGGAATAAAATAATTTCTTCTTCTTCTTCCTTCTTCTTCTTTGTACCATGTTGCTACAAGACATGGGGGATCATGACTCTCCACAATTTATGCAAAAATAAAAGTGAAAATTAGAAAGAAAGGGGAAAAGAAAAGGGAAAAGTAAAAAGTGTAATAGAAAAGAAAAGGGTCATTAATAAATAGATTATTAAATAATGGAAGATGTAAAAATGTGAGACGAAAGAAAGAAAACAAAAAGAGAGATATATACAAAGAAAAAAGGAAGAAAGAGAAAAGTGAAAAGAAAGAAAGAAAATGAGAGAAAGAGGCAAGAGAAGAAAAAGAGGAAGAAAAAGAAAGAGAAAGAAAGAAAAAATGAAAAATAGGAAAGGAGAGAGAGAGAGAGAGATATATAGAAAGTAGAGAGATAGAGAAAAGGAGGGAGGGAGGGAAAGAAATTATTTTGATGATGGAAGTTGTCAACAAAGATTAATTTCAATTGAAGAAGACAGAAAATTAAAAGAACAAAATTAGAAACTAAGAGAATAAGAAAAAGGGTAAAAGAAAGAAAGGAAGAAAGCAAAAAAGAGAGTGAAAGAAGAATGGGAAAGAGAAAAAAATAGAAAAAGAGGGAAAAGAAAGAAAAAGGAAAAGAAAGAAAAAGAGAAAGAGAGAAGAAAGTGAAATTTCTCTTTTGCGAGATAGAGAAAGTAAAAAGGAAAAAAGAGAGAGAAAGCAAAAGCAACCGAGTGGAAGAGAGAGAAAATAAAGAGAGAGATCAGTTTATGATCGATGACAGAAACTGCAAATAAAGAGAAATTTAAACTTGGTTACTTATATTCTGGACCATGATGTTAAATGACTGTAGCTTTTTTATTGAAGAAAAAGGGTTTTATGCATTAGTCAGTCTGTCCCTTTGAGAGCTTTCTGACTCAAAACCTTTTGCAATTGTCATGTCATTATTTCCTTATCCTGACATCAGTAGTCAGTTGCATTCAAACAAACGGACGAAAGAAACTCATAAATGCAAATCTATCAGTTTACCAATTGATCTGTCCAACTCTGCTCGTACCTATCAATGTGTATGGACACTTTATATATATATATATATATATATATATATATATATATATATATATAAAAATATGGGCATGTGGCCGAGTGGTTAGAATGTTCATATTCTGACCATGAGACCCGGTTTGAATCTCACTATGGTCGATTTGTCAAGAAGGAGACTTCCTGCTGTTATTGGACTGGAGGGTTGATTCCACCTTTGAAAAGTACCTGAAAACCATACCATAGGTTGACCCAAGCCTTGTAAGTGAAATTAGGGGGCCATCAATAGCTGTACTAGCACAAAGTCACAAGTCATCATGACCAAGGGCTTAAGCATGCTGGCCTTGTTCACATTGTTGATCATGTTAGATAACACTCTCTTTCACAGAAACTGCTCAGCATAGTTACAGTATAAACCACAGAGCAGCGTCTGCAACAGTGATTGGCTAGCCACCCTAGTAGATGTGTATCCTTGAATATGAGTGGTCAGCTATTGTATATATATATATATATATATATATATATATATATATGAAGAAAAATATATGGAAAAAATAAACAAAAACATTGCTCACGTGACGACGACGTGATCATATTTAAACGGAACGCTGATCTTATAAAAGATTTCAGTTATCTGTTTGGATTGGTCTTGCTTTTATGTCCATTGTCTTTTTCATGTTGAATTGTATATGGTCTAATTATGTTTTATGAATATGTCCTGAAGATGGTCTATTAGACCGAAACGTCCGACATTGACATTATATTAACATTAAAACAGCATAATTGCATATTAGGATTTTTGTTTGTTTTTTCTGTATATTTTTCTTCATACTGTCGGATCTATATCCATATATTTGCTTACATACATATATATATATATATATATATATATATATATATATATATAATGTGTGTGTTTGTGTTGTGTATTTGGGCAGCAATCCTTCTCTAAAACATGTTTCATTAAAAATGGCTGACATGGAACTTCTGTTAAGTTTTTTTATTGTATTTTTCTTGTATGCAAACAGGATGATTCTTTTGGGTGAGTAAAGAAACTGTCTAAATAATTGTTTGTTCTGAGTGCTTTTGGCTAACCATTAGCCATTTTTAATAACTTGGTAGTGCTATTGTAAATGGTATGTAAGTTGCTGAAAGGTAGACATATTCTTAATTTCTGAATATGACCTGAAAAATTGTGGCATTTGTTCATAGTTGATGTTGTTAAGGGTTGTTTTTTTTTACTTTTTATGATAATAACTTCCATTATTTTTAGACACTTTTTGCAAATGGGGGTGCATCATATTTGTGCTCTCAATGAGTGTGTTGCTTATCAAAGTTGACTGAAAGATAGAAAGAGAGAGAGACATGATCAAAACAAGAGAGAGCCAAAGAGTGAGAAAGATAGCAATATTGAGAGAGAGAGAGAGAGAGAAAGGAATAGAAACAGAGAGATACAAACAAACAAATAGATAGATAGATAGATAGATAGATAGATAGAAGTTGAAATATGAACTTAAATAGAAACACATTGAAAAGATAGATAAAAAAATATATCAGAAAACAGATACTGATAGAAAGAGCCATCTAAAACTTGTTGCTTTAAAAGCATCCTTGTGGCAACTGTTAGATAATTAATTTAATGGTGATTATTTCTTCCATAAAATTTAGCAGAGATAAAAATCAAAAACAGGTTATCATAAAGAATATTTAATAAAAGAAGTGGAAGAAAATTATCTTAGGAATGGACTGAGTCAGGAATTAGAGGAGAAAAATGCATTAGATTTTAATGTAATGAACTTCAGAATGGGTTTAAAATTCCATGATAATAAAATTGGATCAGCTATGATTCACAACAAATTTCCAGTCATTTTGATCATTTATTTTCCTGTAAATTGTTCACTGACCATTGGCCAAAATTATTTGACTGATGGCTTGGATCACCTGACATTTGAATCACTTACCATATATATTTTATTTTTATAATGTCATGATATACATCTATCTTGCTCTGTCTGTCTGTCTGTCTGTCTGTGTCTCTCTTTATATATATATATATATATATATATATATATATATATATATATATACACATACAGATACATGCACACACACAGATATATATATATATACATACACACACACACACACACAAGTTTCATTAAAGATGACTGACAAGGTACTGTGATTAAGCTTTTTATTTAATTTTCCTGAGTACATATAAGTGTTTTCTTTTCTAGACATAATGTGTATAAAAACTGTTCAATTGTTCTTCCTATCTGAACACTTTTGGATATTTTTAAGCTATTATCAAGGTTGATTTTTTTTTTAATTGAATGTATGGATTTTTTATGTATGTATCTAGAGTTATAAGAATGTTTTATTTTCCAAACACGATCAGTACGTTGTGGCCGTATACATAGTTGTTGTTATTGAGTTTGGGCTTTTTGTTTCAGATGGAGTTTGGTAGTTTTCCGTGTGTGTTTAAATGAGTCCTAATTAAGCTATGGTCAGATAGGTGTAATGTGAGTCTTTTCAAGTGATTACTGCCCAAATACACAATTATATATATGTAATATTATAAATTAACTAATTGAAAATATGTTTTTTTCACTACACAGTAATAACCATGTTTCAAAAATGGAAGCTAAAACTTTAAATTTAATGATATAATTAAATTAAAAGCATTAGTTCCATTTCATCTTCAAGTGAATATTAGAATAACTTATTTTTAAAGATAAATGGTAGCTAAAAACTTTAAATTTAATTTAATTATATAAATAAATTTAAAGTTTTTAGCTTCCATTTTTGAAACATGGTTATTACTGTGTAGCAAAGAAAAACATATTTTCAATCAGTTAATTTATATTTATGCTCTGTAAATTTACATTGAGCACTGTTTTGTAAAAATAAAAAATATCAATAAGAACACCAGATTATATATCTTACTGTTCTTTCTTTTTACACACACACACACATATATATATATCTCCAGATAAAATGAGAACAAATGGAGTATAATTTCACTGTAACATTTAATTTAAAAGTGAGCTCAATACAGAGTAGAGCTAAATATTATTTATTTTAGAATATTAAAACAAAAAAATGTTAAAAATCACAACACAATTGTAATTATGTTTCAACACTACAAATGTGTCTCCTCAGGTGATGATAAACTACTGGCAAATGAATGATTATTTTAATCTCAAAAGCAGAATACATCCTCTTTTTTCTTATGAAAAAACTAAAAACGAAACAAAAAAACGTATATATATATATATACACACATTTTTCCCTCCATTAGTTTGTATTCTGCATTGTGCTATTATTGCCTTTGCAGTGAAGGGTGATATAATATATGGTCTTGGTCTTCAATTTACTGTTGAGTAAAGATAAAAGCTAGACTATACATTATATTACCAGTCATTGCAAGGACAATGTAATATATGAACTCATGGAGAAAAAAACAAAGATCTACATGGAGTCAGTTGGTTTATATATATATATATATATATATATATATATATATATATATATTAAAGACAACTGACTAGGTACTGCAATGAACAAGTGTTTTCTTTTCTGGACACAGAATGTGTAGAAACTGTCCAAATGTTCTGTAATTCTGAGCACTTTTAGCTATACTTTTAGCCATTATCAAAGATGATTTTATTTTTTAATTTTTAACTGAATGTATGGGTTGTGTGTATGTATCTAGAGTTATAAGGATGTTTTATTTGCCAAACATTCTCAGTACATTGTTGCAGTGTTCGTAGTTAATGTTATTGAGCGTTGGCTTTTCCTTTTTTATTATTAGGGCTTTCATTATTCTTAAACTTTTTTGCATGTGTGTGTGTGTGCACATGCATGTGAGTGTGTGTGGGTTTAAATGAGTTCTAATGGAGCTGTGGTCAGCTAGGTATAATGTAAGGCGTCTGGATAGGCATGTAGTAGTGTGACTAATGTAATTATTTATGAGTTTGGTTTGATCACAAATGTCCCTTAAGGAATTGTGTTGCCAATGTGGTAGGTAAAATTCTGTTGTCTACATCTTGGTATTTTATAGAGAGCTAAAAGTTTAAATCTGTTCAAAATGACGTCAGGGATAATGATTAAAGGGGTGAGACAGCAACAGAAAGAATGCTTCAAATATTATGCTTTTTTACGCATACTAAATATTTTATACAAACTTCCAAAAATTGTCTCCTGCAGTGAATAATATTTTATTTAATGTGGGCTGTTTATTTGGTATATAATAATAGCTTCTAGTGTTTTGAGTCTTTCCTTGCATTGAGTACAATATAGTATTTTGGTGTTATCTACTACTTTTTGTCTTATATCAATAATTGTACTTTATTTGGATTGCATAAGGATCAAGCAATTCAACCGCTAGAGTTTCTAGAATTGAACAGCCAGTCTACCCACACATAATTTGATTATAATTGTGAAGGCTTGTGCAGAATAAGCTACACTTTTTGGAAGAACTGATAAAAGAGAAATGATGTATAGCAAACCATGAAGAATCCAAGCATTCTTTTGGTTTTAAATTAAAAACTGTCCTTCTTCTAGATTATTTGACAACCAAGATAATGAACCCATTCTGTTCTGCTATTTAACCCATAGCTGAGTTATGAGTAACCATTATACCACCTGTATATTAACCCTACATTTGTGTGTCAATTGCTGCATGTCCTGCTACATGAGACATGCAGGCAAGTATACATAGTTGCATCAATAAATCTGCAAACTAATGATGAAGAATGATATCTATTTTATGCAAGAAATATTTATTTTTCAACATAATTTCCTTCTTTGTAAATGCACTTAATTCTGTGGTGACTATTAATCCCATAGATCAAATATTATAGAGTGAAAATTTCATATCAAAATTCAGTTAATTACTGAAAGGCATGAATCCATATCTTTTCTCCCCAGCTATGGGTTAAATAGGAAGGAAAACTGTGTTTTCCAGCTTTGATTGGAAACCTGTCAAGGAAAAGGACAATTATAAACTCAAAACCATATAGAAGATAACAGAAAAACATTCCACTATATTTCTCACCAACAATCATGACAATGCATAGTCCCAGACTACAGATATTGAAAACAGAAGACGTGGAAGCTGTGGAGTGAAGTGATTACTTATATCCTAAAAGGATATGGCATGTGAAAACCTCATTTCTAATTTCTGTTTCAGTTATCATTCTCAAACCTTTCTAAGTATTTCGGGTATCACCCTTCACCTTCGATTTGTCAATTAAAAGGTAAAGAACTAATTAGTTGGACAGTGTGGTCATTAGGGATTCTCATTATCTTTGAGAGCAAATTGATTATTTGTGATTTAGGCAGAGAAGATAACGAATCTATAATTAAATTTGGAGAGGCTATCAAACGAGGAGACACTTTAAACCAATGAAACACTTCAATTCTTTATTGATGGCCAAATATATAATTAGAATATACGAATGCTGAAATTGGGATGAAGTAATGGTCAAAATATCAGGAGGAATCCATGAACATTGTAATGCATCTCTGGGGAAGAATTTTCTGCATTGCACCCTGTCTCAAAGAAATGTGGATTGAGAGGTCAGACCTGTAGAAAAATTGCAATACTCTAAAATGAGTAATCTAATATTTCATTAGTGAAAGGCATTCATTTAGCAATGTCATCATGTCCATTATTAGAGATAGGACATCACAAATAAATTAATATTTTCTCCAGAAAGGATCCAGCTATTTAATATAAAAAAAATCTACTACAATCCTCTACAGAGTTTTGGGACCTCACAGAATTATCCCAGCATCCCTTCTAGTTTTCAAAATCAAGTCCTCTTTAACATTGTTATCAGCTTTTTTTCTTTTAAGTATTTCTCCCGAAGCAAGGCAATAAAACCACTAAGATGCAAGGGGTTACTGTGCCGGAAAGAATATGAGAAAAAGAAAACTATATTAAAGTGAGAGAATAATAAAAGAACTGGAATTAAGAAGACAGAAGATAACCATTGACATTGTATTTAAATTTTTGGAGATCAAAGTTGAGTGGAAAAGCAAGAGACCAGAAGTGAGTTCAACAAGCAAGAATTTTTCAAGTGCAAGAGAAGAAACTGTTTCATCTTTGATCTGAAATCTCTTTCTTTTCTATAGTGAGTTTAAACTTGAGAAAATCCATAAGTTGCAGGGCGACAATTTTGGACAGGCTGAGGCTGTGAATAAGTGCTGAGGTTTTTGGTCGTCCTCCTCCCTAAGTGCCATGTCTCCTTAGGATACAAGAAATCATTACCCTCCACAGCTTTCTTCTCTTCTTTTTTAATATCTGTAGTCTGAAACTTGCATTATCATGATTGTTTTAGGGAAACAAAAAGGACACTTATACTTATATTTTTTCATATTCCGTATCTCAGATATTGATCACTTTTATCTTATAAACATCAGGAAGAGACAATTGAAATATCTAGGGCACATAATGAGGAAAGAGGGCTTGGAAAATCTGGTACTCACAGGATAGACTGAAGGCAAGAGGGACAGAGGAAAACAATGCATAAAATACTTAGTGAGCTTGAGTAAATGGATGGTGGAATAAGGTTTAG